CTCGCAAGCCTTTTCGGAAGCAGCAAGTCAAAGCTCAATCACTCCGGAGGCGGCCGGAAAGAGACAAGCGTCTCCTCTCAAGGACTCACCCATCCAGAGTGATGAAGATGACGAATCATCCGCATCCGACTACGTCATGGGTGAGATCAAAGACGAAAAGAAGCCTAAATCCGACCGTCCGGAAGAAGAAGACATTCCAATGGAGCAGGCAGACTATCATCGAGATTCCGACAGCGATGAAGACAAGAAGCCATCGGATCCACCTCGAGGTACGGCCAAGGCAGAAGGCAATGCCCATGCAGCCTCCGGCACCGACACTGAGGCTTACACCAAAGATCAAGGCACAGCCATCCATGACCTTGGACGAAGAGACGGAATCCGACAATGCCAAGCATCATCATGAAGATCGGCCACCTTTACCAAGACGGCCAACGATGAAGGCACCTCCTGCATCCCTTGATCAATCCAAGTGGGTTGGGTGAGCTCCAACAAGCCCGAGCAGATTGGGGTAAAGCTTCTGAAGGATACCTCGAATCCTTCGCCATTCTGGAACCACTAGTTTCTGAGCATTGCGCAGCAGTACTACCGTGAGTGCTGCACCATCCAACAGAAACATCCAGAGTTCAACTACGTTCCTGATCATGTGCGAGGGCCCCATGAAAAGCCAAATTCAACGACCTGTGGGAACCTACCACTTGTGGAGAGGACACCCAGGGAGAGAATGCGTACATGGCCTTCATCAAGAAGATCTACGGTCTGTGTTGCCTGATCTTTGACGATCCCAAGAGTTTCAGCACTGAGGTCATGAAGCCCATCTTCCACTTCATCCTCTGGAGAGTGGAGAGAATGAGCAGACTGTTTTCTGAATGCCTTCGACACCATACTCGAGAAGGACGAGAATTGAAAAGAGCGATCCATTTCAACATTGATGGATCATGCGAACTGTATGAGGCATTGTGTGCGATCACCCATGCGAGAAACTTCCTTGGCACCATACCAGGCATATTCCTGATGACAATGCTTCCATCCTTTGGAAAATCCAGATTCGAGATATCCGAAATTTGATGGATCATACAAGGAACGGGAAGCAAGGAACGCGATTGTCCCCAGACCGATGGATTGACAACCTCACATCCCAAGCAGCATTCCATGCACTCAGGCCTGATGGTAAATCACTCTTCAACGACGATGACATGGAGCTGTATGTGAGATGCAACAGTGGTCACTCACGATATGTTGAGCTGGAAGCATCAAGACCATGAAGATGAGAGCACGGCAGCTCCGAAATCCATCGAGCAGGACCGGAAGATCGTTCCGTTCAGGAAGAAGGCCGTCACATTCATGTTCCATGCCACCTATGGAACTCAGATCGAGAACATCATGCAGCAAGGCATCAAGCCAGGACGAACTCACCCCCTTCGGGGAAGACAACACGTTCACATGGCATGCGTCAACGATATCGTTTACGATGATCAGGAATCAGACGCAGCGCTGGCCCATGTCCCTAAGGGACGCGACGCATTGTTGATCCTTGCATTCGCACGAGACAAACAGTACAACATCCGAGTCACGGAAGAAAGAACTGCCCTGTCAGAGAACACCATTGATCCATGCAGCATCGTCGCAGCGTTCGATACCGATGGGCAGCTCCTGCTTAGCAGCTACTGGATCATGAAAAAGGACCTTGACAAGGAAGACCGAGAGCAATGTGAATCCAAGATCCTGGAGTTTGCCGAGCACTTCTTCAAGCACATTGACAAGGGCATCTCCCGCGACAAGCGCAACAAGTGTCAACCTGAACAAGAGCAAGCCAGCGAGACCAAGAAAAGAAGGCACTCGACAGATCATGATGCGGAAAGCATGAGCGCAAGAGCATCGATCCGTCAAGGTCAAGGTCAAGGTCATCGTGGAACCTCCCAATTCGGCAAATGTGGCTGAATTCAATCAGGAATTTCAGGACATCTATTTGGACCGAGAAATGTCCAAGTCCGATGCTGCAAAAGAGCTCGACGAGATTAAGCAATCATTCACGGAGTTCATGGAGAGGTACCACATGGATCCAAAGAAGGCGCACAAGAACCTGACCGATTGCGAACTGAGATCTTTGGCACACGTGAATCCAGATGAGAACATCGAGGACGATGAGTTCTACTTCGAGCACGCAAGTGAACATCCGACCATAGAAGAGTTCAGAGCAGCGCAGAACCCCTCGGGGTATCCACTTCGACTTCCAATCGGACTCAAGAAGTTGAAGAACCACCACGATCCCGAGCTCATCAAGTCATTCACGAACATTCTGGGATCCTTGATGCAAGGAACTGATGGCCACGTTGTCGACTACATCAAGAGAAAAGATTATCCATCCAGCATTTCACTCAACATCCTGACAGTGAATCGCGGGAACCTCGCAAGGAATCCGAAGCTGGATAGTCGAGAACTCAAGTCATGGCCAATCAAGCACCGACCGCTCATCACGCAGATGATGCAGAACAGTGCACATATCCTTTGCATCAACGAGGCAGACTCGTTCCTCTACCCAGAAGAAGGTAAGACCCTCGATCTCATCAAGCTGTTCATAAAATGTGGATACAAGGGCATCGTTATCAAGCTGTGGTCATCCAAGTCTATCGCATTCTTTGTCCGAGGTGGGAAAAACAAAGAGCCAATTCTGGAGTACTACATTCGGAATGTTCAGATGCTTTTTCGGACTAGAGGACGGTTGCACTGACCCAGACTACGATACTCTAACATCCGACTGCCCTGCATCCACCGGAACATCCATGTTCCTCAACAAGGAGAAGTATGTTGGACAGAGATTGCCACCGCGCACCACCGTTCAATGACATGGCAAGAACAGTGAGATTGGCGTCATCCACATTGAGCAGAACAATGAGATCTATCCTACGACACCCGCCATGTCGCCAGAGCTGATCTTCCATTTGCCACCATTGGAGTGTTCCATAGCCATCCGAACGTCAGCCATGGTGCAGCAAAAGAAGACGTACAGAAAGGTATCATGCCGCTCGTTACGGAGTACCAGTGCGATGCGATCACAGGCGATGCCAACAAGTCCGCAAATACGTTCAGCAAGCTGCAATCCGCTTACAATCCTGAAAACGGCCTCACTACATCCTGGAGAAGTTCAAGAACCTTTGAAATGAAACACAAGACATGCCGTTGGCGGAGCGAATTGATTTATTTCACCATGTCGACTTCATGCACAATCAAATCCATTGCTCGCCACCATCTTCATATGAAGAAAGGTTCAGGATATGACACGGTTCGAGATTGCCAAGCTCGACCAAGATACGATGGATTCCATGATAGAAGATGTTGACAAGGTCATCTCCGACTACAAGGTCGCTTCCGCCGTGCGCTACAAGCACATCAACAATGAGATGCTAATGCTTGGACCGTGCGACTCCGATTCTCACACCCCATTGCTGGTCTATGTTCGCAGCCTCGCAGCTGATCAAGAAAGAAATCTCCACCGCAAGAAGGAGTACATCCAGAACAAGAAGAAGGAGAAAGAGACCGCGTGGAAGCCATGGGACCAATCCTATCAGCAAGGATGGAAGAGCTCTGGCTACCAAGGATGGGAGGATTATTTCGGAGGACATGCGAGTCAATCCGATAGCAGCTACCGTTGGTACTCGCAGAAGCGATGAGATACTCTGACTACAATCCACGCTGAGAGCATTCGCACGGAAAACGACACCACAAATTCCAACCAATTGATCCTCCTGCGCATCAAGACTATGCCTGCGAGTGATCAATAGTTTCACACAACCCCGCGTGTACAAAGTGTTTCTCACATTTCCGCTTTAGATACAGTTAGGTATCTCGTCCAACCAGTACAAAGCACATTCGACAGAAGTAGGATGGCTTAAATTTCGATACGGCTACGGCAAGCACACCATTTCCATGGCTACGGCTAAAGGCCATGAAGCCAAGAATACCATTTTGGTGTTCAGGGTCAAAAGAAATTCTGTTTGTTTTTGTGTTGCTTTTGCTCGCAAGTTGACCCTGCAATCACCACTTATATTTTGGCTCAAGGCCCCTCTTGTACAATAGTTGCATTCATCCTGCAGCCATTACAAAAGGACCTAGCAGAGTGCCTTGCAGGGATATATCACACACATTATCAGGACCAGGGACATCCATTCTCAGTTCCTCCACTATTGGCATATTGGACTCTCTTGCAGTCTACTACCACAAGGTACCTGCTCCATTCGGGGACACGGTGCCCCCGGCAGTGGGTCTCAGGGGGTGAAGGGGTTGAAGATGCAGTGCACGCGGGCGAGGCAGAATCGGCCCCCTCAATAATTTTCAAAAATTGAAGGCAGCTCAAGAGGCAAGGTGGCATTTGTAATGTTGGGCACACCAACTGTAGCCGGTTGATACCTAGAGGAAGCGGTTTCCAGGGAAAGCATCATTGACTTAAAACACCACCCAGCGCAGCTAGAAACAGAAGACAGTAGAAGAATTGAAAGCTTATCATGCACGGAGCAAGGTTCTGTATGGACTGGAAACACGCTTGAGCCTGGGGACTCATACAGACTCGGACAGACTCATATGCACCCAACTCAAGCAAAAAGATTCGTTACTTTAACAGCTTTCATCCAAACAAGAAACAAGCGACTAGCTTAGTGTGGCAAGAACAGAGAGTTGGAAGACCACAAGCTTTATTGAAACATGACGCGGCAGTGGGAATATATTCCAAGACGTTGACATGTGACTACAATGTATGCAGATGTGACATGTGCCATTGTTGTGCAAGCAAAAACTTGCCAACCTGTGTTGCTGAAACCAGAGGCTCTGGTGGGTCGACATGTGAACAGTCAGCAGCCATGCGGCAGATTGGAGCCCTACGACTCGTTGAGCCAAACTTCCAACTAGCCAGAGCAAGGAAATCCTTTCATATATGTGCGCGTTTGGGCTCCCCCGCCCAGATCGCATCCCTTCAGATTTTGCCCAATCCTCCAACCCTGGCCGCCCAGTCTTCCGCTCTCTACCTGCAGTCCACAGCAGATCAGATGCCGAAGCTGCTGGCAGGCGCTGACACGGGCGTTTGAGCTGTTGTTTGCAGCGGGTTCCACGATTAAGCAGCCAGATGTTGCCAGGTTTGAAAGTTGGCGGTTCGCGTGTTTGAGGATGCAGAGACCAACATGTTGGCCCTTGCAGCGCATGTGCTTCCCGGAGCCGAACATGAGAATACACCATCTCATACTTGCATAACTTGGACTGTCCACGGCTGGGGAAGTTTCAACAGCTGTTTCTGGCAGGCCATGGTGCAAGAGTGGCAGAGGAGATTGAGTCACTGATGGAGCTCAAGGCCCTTGTTCAGCTTTGCGTGGGTGGGCACAACTTTGCCAGCTGTTGATTCCTTTTCCTGCAGAGCATGAATGAAGTAAAAATGGCAGACGGCATGCGCCTGCCAAGCGTTCAGTTGACCTTCTTGCACTCACTTCCGCTTGTTCTGGCGTGGTTCCAGCAAATGATGCGGGACCATGAGCGTTGGCTTTGTGCAGAACGAGATCTTGGCCCTCACTCCGAATCGACGCTTCTTGATGCTGACCGAGGTGTCGTATGTTGAACTTACACAATTACCGGTGGCGTTGCAATTGTCGGTGTTACATTCTTCTTGCTTGTCAAACTGTGCAGGCTTTCAACCAGCTAATCAGATGGTACGGACGAGCTCGCCTTGTTCCACAGGCGGAATCTGATTCGAAGCATATGATTGCATCGGAAGCCAGAGGATCATTCAAATTTGCCGACACATCCTTGCCTTGAGATGCGTGCCTTCTCTGCAGGCTCTGCGTGCCTGTGAGATCATGAACGAGCTCGGAATTCCACGAGCCTGCCTGGCTACTTTTGCTTATGCACATCCAAATGGCGATGGCTGACCTGGTCAGAACGACATGACCCTGCACTTTCTCAGCAGGGGATGTGCGCAACAGCTTCTGGGCAGAATTGTTCCGCTGCCACAACAGTGGAATTGTGCACCAGGAACATACAGGGAAGCACTAAGAATCCGTGTTGGCGTTGTCGATAGATGCACGAGACGTGCAGAACAGCACAAGCAACACTACCTCGAATTAAGATCAGTACAGCATACTATGCACGCGTGTCGAAGAAGGGGCTCACATGGCAGGCAAGTACTTGTGCTGGAGAAAGAAGCTGCATTACAGTGTCCACAGATTGAGCGAACTGACCTCAATGACGCATGAGATGGGAAGGGTCGTGCAGTAGTTAACCATATTCTTCAGAATGATGCTAACCCACAAAGCGTAAGGCTCGCGAATTCAGTGTCGATAGACCAAGCAGGAGGCTATGTTTGAATGTAGAACTACAGATCCCAAGCATCTACAAGGCGAGTGTGCAAGAGGACAACACCCCGAAGGCAACCTGCAATTTGCATTCTTTTTGGCTTGTGGCAATCTCGCAAGAATGCCTATGTTCTTGAATGGCTCCGAGCACTGCCAATAAATTTGGCTATGCATCCAGCATAGCCATTCCAGATTGAGGCAAGCAGTCCCAGCAGGATATCATATTACATGAGACAGGGCTGCCTTCTTGTACCTTGTTTTTTTGATTTACTTATGCCTGCCATCTTCAGGGATATGAACAATCAAAAGCAGCGCCAAGCAGGGAGAACCCATCAGGCCCTTGAACACGGGGCTATCTTTCGTGACAACAACAGCTCGATGTTGCGGCATCGCACTCAGCATGACAAAACGTTGCCTTAGACAAAATCAATACGCTCTCTGACAATCGCAACAGATCGACAACCATTAAGGCAATATGAGCAAGTGCATAACTCTATGCAAGAAGGGGCTGATGCCCGTCCCAACTCGACTTGGTTGACGGCGTGTGGTCCTCAGAATACTGCCGCAAACCATTTAGGCACTATAGCCCAGAGATACGTTGAGGAGAACAGTCAAAAGCAGCCAAGCAGGGGGAACTCACAGAACCTTGAACACACCATCACACTCAGCATGACAAAACGTTGCTTTAGACAAAATCAATACGCTCTCTGACAATTGCCACAATTCAGCAACATAAGGTAATGTGAGCAAGTCAACATCTCTATGCAAGCATTGGCTGAAGCCTGTCCCAAATTTAATTGGTTGACGATACATTTTGTGTGTTCTGTTTCCGTTTCTTTTCTTTTTTTTGTTCTTCAAGAGTATAATCGCAAACACACAGATTCAGAAGGTAAAAGAAGATCTCAAAGAAGAAGCATTGTGTATTCATTATTTTCATTTTTGATTTATCTTTTGGATTCTTAGTTGTTTCTCATAGACCATTTTGTCGTGGACCCCACAAGCTAGCAAAGAAGACTAATAAAAGCATCAAAATCCATGAAAAATATAGTTATATTCATACGGTTCCTTGGTCCTCAAAAGAACGCCACCTATGTCATTTGGCACTATGCCCAGAGACGCTGGTCAGGAGAAAGAGAGCGTGCAAAGATGAATCCTAAAATCAAGAGGAATCGCCAATCAAAGCGTTAACACGTAGTGATGAACAGGCCGAGCTTCAGTCAAGCAGAAGCTCTGGGTATTCCGCTTTATTGTATCATGGAAGGCCCCCGTGATACGTATTGAAAGTAATCGGCACAAATCAAGGCAAATTCAATAGGTGACAATTTGGTGTTGAAATGAACAATCATGGTGCAGCAATTTGTACACCGTCAACCAGTATAAATGAAACACCGACAAGCGAAGAGTGAACAAAGAAATGATAGATTGACAGGTACAACATACCCACACCCACACTAAGCAAGTTGATTTACTGCAACATCCAAGCAAACCTTCAGCCGTCAGCGAAGTTGTATCACTGAACACACTCCGTACCGAAGGATATCAGCAACATAAAGGACTATCAATATAGACTGCACCCCGTCACCAAAATAGGATCGAGCTCAAAGGGCCTGTTACCAAACTGGCCACCGAAATGTATGGGTTTGCGTACTCAGTCCGATTTTATGATCCCTTTCAAGGGCGTTCTCATTCCCGCGTCAGACTTTCTTTTTCCCGAAAGCATGGCGAAGGGTTCTTCCGCTGGGTTCACTTGAGTTGTTCTCATGAGAGTCATTACAAGGTGTCATTGCAAGGAATCAGCATCATGAAAGTCATTGCAAGCAGTCATTGCAAGGAGTCATTGCAAGGAGTCATTGCAAGGAGTCATTGCAAGGAATCATCATCATGAAAGTCATTGCAAGGAGTCATTGCAAGGAGTCATTGCAAGGAGTCATTGCAAGGATTGCAAGGAGTCATTGCAAGGAGTCATTGCAAGGAGTCATTGCAAGGAGTCATTGCAAGGAGTCATTGCAAGGAGTCATTGCAAGGAGTCATTGCAAGGAGTCATTGCAAGGAGTCATTGCAAGGAGTCATGGCAAGGATTGCAACTTGCACTTGACTCCTTGCACTTGCAACTTGCACTTGACTCCTTTGCAACTTGCACTTGGCTCCATGCACTTGCAACTTGCACTTGACTCCATGCACTTGGCTCCTTGCACTTGGCTCCTTGCACTTGGCTCCTTGCACTTGCAACTTGCACTTAACTCCGTGCACTTGCGACTTGCACTTGACTCCATGCACTTGGCTCCTTGCAACTTGCAATGACTCCTTGCAATGACTCCTTGCAATGACTCCTTGAAACAAGCAAGGAGTCAAGTGCAAGTTGCAAGTGCAAGGAGTCAAGTGCAATTGACTTGCGAGGAGTTAAAATCTCTTCTTAGGGCGGCGGGGTAGTGCCGACGACACTACACGAAAATCGACCCTCTGCGGGGATCGGCGTGGTCGAGGTGCAAAAACCCATGGTTTTTTGCGATTTCTAAAGTTCCCGCGCGACCCTCTGCGGGGATCGGCGTGGTCGAGGTGCAAAAACCCATGGTTTTTTGCGATTTCTAAAGTGCCGCGCGACCCTCTGCGGGGATCGGCGTGGTCGAGGTGCAAAAACCCATGGTTTTTTGCGATTTCTGCGGTGCTCGCGCGACCCTCTGCGGGGATCGGCGTGGTCGAGGTGCAAAAACTCGAGGTTTTTTGCGATGTTTAACCTGCTCGCGCGACCCTCTGCGGGGATCGGCGTGGTCGAGGTGCAAAAACCCATGGTTTTTTGCGATTTTTAACCTGCTCGCGCGACCCTCTGCGGGGATCGGCGTGGTCGAGGTGCAAAAACCCATGGTTTTTTTGCGATTTCTGCGCGCACCCTCTGCGGGGATCGGCGTGGTCGAGGTGCAAAAACTCGAGGTTTTTTGCGATTTCTTTCTGCGGTGCTCGCGCAACCCTCTGCGGGAATCGGCGTGGTCGAGGTGCAAAAACTCAAGGTTTTTTGCGACTTTTGTTGTTCGAACTGGTCCTCGGGAGTTGTCTCGTGGTTCGCGCGCCTGCTCCCGGAACCGGCGGGTCGCGGGTTCGATTCCTCCCTGGTCCGCGGGCGGGCGTCGCAAGATGCAACTTGCATTTTAAAGCAACTTGCGCAGAGCAACTTGCGCAGAGCAAGTTGCACAGAGCAACTTGCGCAGACCAACTTGCACCGACCAGTTTGCGCAGAGCATCTTGCCTAGAGCAACTTGCGCAGAGCAACTTGCGCAGAGCAACTTGCGCAGAGCAACTTGCACAGAGCAACTTGCACAGAGCACCTTGCCTGGCGCTGTCTCGCGCTTGCTTCACGAATGCTTCATGTAGGGAAAAAGAACGCATCCTGCAGCGTTGGGCCGACCTCGCTTGCGATGTTCTGCTTTCGGGCCAACCGTGGTCTAGTTATTTGGGCACATTGTGTAATCTGGCCACCACTGCTGGCCAAATTCGAAGTTGTGCACTGCAACGACAATCAATTCCATGCTTAGGATCAGCTGCTGCAGCGTACAAGTTATGAAGAAAGAAAACAACATTGCAGGACCGGATAACACCACATGCCTAGATTTTGTAAATTGGGTGTAAGTTGAGTGAGTGAGACTGCGAATGGCTGAAAGTCAGTGAGTATAAGTTGAGTGAGTGAGAGTAAGTATGTGTAGGTAGGTAAGCTGAATGAGTGAGCATCAGTATGCAAAAGATAATGGGTGCAAGCTGACTGAGGGAGAGCAATTGTGTCTAAGTTAGTGAGTGTAAGTTGAGTGAGCGAGAGCAAGTATGCGTGCCACGCAAAGCAACAAAGGCGTGCACAAAGGCAGGCACCTGCCACGCAAGCCAGCATCAGCAGGCGCAAAGTCGACGGCTCCGAACCGCTTGCCATGTAAGCAGACCTACAACCCAAACCGACTAATACTGCGCCTGCCACGCAAACAGCTCCGCCGCCCGGTTTTGTTGGCATCAAAGGAGCTGATCAAAGTATAGCAAACAACCACAGTCCCCCCTCAAATTCAAAGCAAGGATCGAAGGCATGTTGCCGGATGCGCCAGTAGATGGCATACAATTGAGCAGCGTTTTTTTCTCAGATGATGGATTTTAGCTTCGCGGGGAACTCCCAAAAGCTCCGCGAAGGCACTTGTGCGATACATTGTGTACCGCGAAGCCCCGCGAAGCCACTTCGCGTAGCCCGGTAACATTGACACAGGCGAAGCCACTTCGCGAAGTCACTTCGTGGTTTGAATGTGTTGCGTGCTTTCATGGCAAGTGCGTTGTGCGCTTTCATGGCAATAGTATTCCAAAGGTTGATGGTTAGAGTCAGCAGGCTACGACAAGATTACAGGAAGATTGCGGGAAGACGACCGGAAGAGCACTATGCGTTTCAGGCCCGGTTTTGCTAGAAACGATGGAACGTTTTCGCGAAGCCTCTTGGAAGCCCCCGCGAAGCCCCCGCGAAGCCTCCGCGAAGCCACCGCGAAGCCACCGCGGTCCAACTTCCATGCTCCGCCCCTTTGAGGCCCAGCCACGTCCCCTAGTCCTGAAGCTCAATGCCTCTGTTGCCGCCTTTCATCGCCCCCTTTCGCACGGACTCAACTTGATTCCACAACATGGGGCGCAAGTGTGAGAGATGTTTGTGGAACAAACATCCGCGAAGCCCGGCGAAGCCACTCCGCGAAGCCACAGTCTTGCCGCGAAGCCTCGCGAAGCCAACCCTTCCACAAACTCTGGCCCCGCGAAGCCCCCCGCGTAGCCTCCCCAGCAGTGTATAAGCCCTGAACCTCTAAAAAAAACAATGCTCAATTGGCGAATATCAAAGTGGCAGGTAAAATATGACAAGTCACTTTGGTGCAAGAGACGCCCAGGTTTGCGTGCCTGAAGAAGGCCAAGCGGTGCTTCGCTTACCTGAATCAATCAGGAAGGTAGCCAGATATCCATCAACTCGGGTTTTGGGTTTTTGGCCTGAAAAGCACAGCGCAGCAGGTACACACAGGCTCCGAAGGATTTGCCTGGACACCGGCCAGAGGTGGTGTTCATCGGCCGGGTGAACTCGGTACGCCTCGCCGTATGCAAATTGACTTTGGCTGGCAGAAGAGATTCGAGCTGCTCTGGGCCCCGTGCACAGGGCAAGTCATCCATGATCAATGCCTTGTTCAGCTCCCTCACGAAGGCATCCTGCTCGGCACAGACTTTCCATCAGAGCGTAGCTGCGTTTGGGTGCTGAAGGATGAGTTGTACACCCTTTGTTTGCCTAAGAGGAATGGCCAGTGGACCTTGGAAGAGGGGGAAATTGTCAAATTGCCCTTCACTGTCATCTCCACGTACATCAGACCATGTCGTGCGTGTATTTGGAAACTACATACCCACATTTGCTTTCACCCTGTGCTCAGTTCGCTCCAGCCTCCAAGACCAGAGCCTACACGAGGAAGTTGATGTTTTATGAGGCCAGAGTGGTTTGCGTGCGCTGCGGGTGAAAGCTGCATGAAGTCGGCATGGACACCGCTTGCGTTTGATAGTTTCGTGATGGGAGCACAAAATGCGGTGAAACCGCGCTAAGCTGAGGTGAACAGAGAGCGAGCAGGACTGCCACACTTCATGATGGCTGGGCGACCTTGGAGGGCTTGAGGACGAACATGAATATCTTCACTGGCAGGGCATGCTCCGCTGGTAAGGTAGATACTCCTGGTTTGGGTTGTGCTGACATTGAGCGAGCGGCTGCCATTACAAGGCATGGAGGACGAGCTTACAGCTTGCCGACAAGTTTTCAGACATATGCCAGGGAGTGGCCTGACCTCATCTACGACTACCTGAAGAATCGTGAATCTTTGAAGCATGGCCCACAGTGGTGGACGAACCTGTTTGGACACGGTGTTTGGTAGCGGAAGCTAAGGCAATGGGGCTAAAGGGCTAAAGTTGGCAGAGTTGCCCAGAGTTGCACTCGGCATTGGGCGGCATTGGGCCTGAGGCATGTGTTCCATTTGGTGGATGCGCGCAATCACAAGCTCCTACCCGCCGACAAGCAGCTGATCCACTTGCTGGCAAGGGCCCAGTCAGAATCTAAGTCAAGAGTTGCCGGTATCAAGTCCAAGAGAAGAGGGTGCTCCAAACAGAAAGCAACAGGACTTCCTGAAATCCTGTTGCTTTGCAAACCCATTCGTTCATGAAACCACAGTATTTGCCAAGCGTTTGCGCAGCAAACCTCTTGTGCGAATGAATGTCCCGGTATATGACCTATGGGTCATGTGCTATGTGCTGATGCAAATAGGCGTGGATGGCACCAAGTAATTCCTTCCCATGAGCCAATGACGCCAAACATGGGTTTTTGCAGCTGCCGTCAACAGTCTCTTTGGATCGACAGTTCTCTCCCACGGGCACATAAATATATTATATGTGTAGACGCTTAGCGTTGCCAGCCTCGGCCAGTCCCGCTTTTGGCTGGCTTTGAGGTATATGCCGTGCTTTTGTTTGCCTTGAAGTCTTGCATGTCCGTGCGTTTCCACATGGCTTCAACCGCAGAGAGCTACAGAATGGCAGTGGGCTTGGGTCAAGCAAAGGTGCAAATTTCTACAAATTCTAGGGGTCATTTGATCAGTTTCTAGAGGGGTGTTTGACCAGAGGGGAGATAATCACTTCCTAGAGGGATTTTTTGACCGGGGTCGGGGTTCTGAAGGGGTCTGACCGCTTCCGAGGCGAATGTCCCCCTGAAAAGAACCAACAAATTTCACGGTATTTATACTGATTTCCCGCCTTCCACCCCCGTTTGCAGGCACCCCACATTGGAGCTTTTAACTGCCCGCATTTCCACATTTGACTGCGACTGTATCCGCCAAGAAAGCTTCAGAGCGCTTGAAAGCACTAAGATCTGGAGACCTGAGAATCTTGAACTTCAGATTCAAATGTGCGTAAACACGCTTTAAAGCGTGTTGGGGCCCCATACTGGACTCAACATCTAGAGGCCTGGGAATATTTATTCTTAGATCCAAAGTGTGTTAAAGCGCTTTGAAGCGTTTGGGGGGCCACATACTAGATTCAAGATACAGGAATAAGAGTCTTGGAACTCTTGAATCTTAGACCCAACAGCGATTTAAAGCGTTTTGCCGGCCCCATACTGGACGCAAGATTCAGGATCTAGCGTCGTGGGAATTTTGAATCTTAGATAAAAGAGTGCTTTAAAGTTATTCAATGCGTTTGCTTTCAGTCAGTGTGCAGAATATATTTATTTCAGGGAAGTTAGTTGTATTGTTTGGCATTGGTCAAGATGTTTGGGTATTGGCCAAGGTTTGTTTGAGAGGAGAGATGGAAGATGTTGCCACAGGTTTGTAAGTTGCCAGACGAACAGGGTTTGCGCATGAGTCGAGATGAGAATTGAAGATGCGTAGGCGAAGCAGAAGAGGTATTGTTTGCTTTGCTTTGATACCCCTGCGCCGGTACACTTACAGACATGGTTTACAGTCAATTGCGTGAGGATCTCATGGTGATGAAGACTATCAAAAAGAAAAATCAACATGGACTCATGTTTAATATCAGAGAATATGTGAAAACAGGTGTTTCAGTGTTGACTAGTGTTTTTTGAAAGCTTGAGAGAGGCATGTATGACATATTGTGGTTTAGACCCTGTGTATTATATCTCACCCAATTTTGCTTCTGATGCTATATTCAATTTGACTTTGAAACACACTTAGCTTAGTTTGTGACCAGCACATGTATGCAATGATTGAAGAAGGATCAAGAGGAGGAATGACGCAGACAACCTACAAAAACATTGGAGCAGACAATATTGTTGTTTTTGGGTGGGAAAATCTTAGCGAATCATTGAAACGAGCAGACTTCTGGTGACATCTGTGTTTAAAAAACATCCTAACTCTATACAGAAGCAGCAGACGCTGCTCATTTGAGGTTGCAAACACCTCATTGATTTACGTTTGGTATTCGGAGGTCCCTTGTGTGGCAAAACTGCCACGTCTCACTGCCAAATGATCAGGAGTTAGAAAAAAGACAGCGATCGTGAGAAGCGGCCTTGAAAAGTAGCAAACAGGCCAAACGTGTTAGCTGAACAAGAAGCGACAAGAAAAACGTTCAGCTGTTGCACATACATTGCCTTTTGCTGCCAAAGTGTACTTCGTGTTCTACATGTACTCAACAGTTGAGATGTTTGAGCTGGCGCTGCCACAGCGCACTTCACGTACCACACTTGTACTGAGCAATTGCGATTTTCGAGAGGGAACTGCCAACGTGTACTTTGTATACTACACTGCTTTGAATACTACACTTGTACTAAAATGTTGTGCTGCGTTGCATGGCATCAGCCGTGGTTGGACAATTCGCTCAAATTGAGTACGCAAGCCTTTTGCCCAGCACAAGTTTGCGATGTATGTATTTCTTAATCCAATCTCTTCTGGTAAGCTCACAAGGAACCCAAGAATGTGCTTGCTGGAATTCTATGCAGCTTCCTGGCCAGCTCACGTTGTAGTCCTTGGCCGCACTGCAATTCTTTGCAAGCCTTGCCTGCTCAAACAGGAGCCTTTAGCCAACATTCCGAATCAGCACATGTGTACAGGGTATTCTTTGGGCCACAGTTCAGGGGGTAGAATAATCACACATCTTTGTTGGTCAGTGCGTGAGGTGTTTGCTTGCAAAGGCGGCGCAGCGTTCGCTTGACCATAGCCAGGGCCTGAACGCACCGTTGAGCCCACTAGACTGATTCCTAGTTAGAGCTTGTGTGCGTGATTGTTCTCAAACTACTTGCAGGTCATCACCAAGATAGATGTGTGCAAGCGAGCTGCTGGGAGCTTAGCCAATTGCCCAACCATGATAGGCCTGCCTTGGTTCCGGAGGATCAACCATAAAATGAAAAGTAAGGTTGCAAACAGCACCGCCAAGCGAATACGAGAGGCCAGCCAAGAGTAGCACTGCTCTGGCATCACATTGGCACTGATTGAAAGGGCTCGATCCATGTTCTGGTTTCGCCGTCCCACCAGGACCTTGCGCCGTACTGCGACGTGGACATCATGTTTGCCAGCGCCCGCAGCCTTCGAGGCAAAGGGGCTCGGCTGAGCTTCAAACTGAACATGTGCAGAACAGCTTGTGCTAAAAAGGCATGCAGGGTGCCACTCGGGTATCCAACTTCTCATCAGCGTGTGGTGAACACCGCGCAGCAGAAGCTTGGTCAGAAGCATAAAGCTGCCGTGCACGAAAAGTGCATTATTGTCAATCATAAAAGGCAACGAGCAAGCTATGCACTAGCTAATCCGCCGCCCTCCACATTGCAAGCACTGAAGCCGACCTTAGCCAAGACTGTACCAAGCGCACGAGTCTCGCTTGGAATCCCATAAGAGCTCTTTCTCACGTGCACTTTCTTGGGGAGTGTGTGGCAAAAGCGGCAAATCCAACCGTGCCTCCGCACTGTCGCGCTGACTCCGGCTTCTGGACATGTAGCTCCCAGTGCACACGGCCGTACACTGTTACACCGTGCTAGGAGTACTGAAATTCACCGAAATGGCACACCACGTCATGCATGTCATACCTTACTTAGTGAATTGTGAGGGAGGACATGTGGGGGAATGGTAGACACCCTGATGCCAGGTGTGGATCATTTGTGGTCAAAGATTTGGCAGTCCGTGACAGAAACTCCACGCGGAAGAAGGCACAAGGCGATGGGATTCAGTAGTTTGGGGCTGAAGAAGTGACACGTTATTGCATGTTGAGCTTTAGGGGCTAGACTTGCAGGTATCGATTTCAACGTCAAACAACAAATGCATCCAAGCGGACAGAGTGCACAGAAAGCAAAAATAGTATCTGATCAATCATCCGTCGCATTCGGCAGTTGACCAGAAGTCCATTTTAGAGAATTGTAGAGTAGTTCATGATGGTATTCATAATCCGTCTCTTCCTGCCAGGACATTGCTCGAAAAGAACTTGAGCGACTCATGAAAGGCGGCGACCCACTGAAGGCCGCGGGTGTGAATCTTTTCCGCTTTATATCATAGGATAGGCAAAGCAAGTTTTGTGAGAGCCAACATGGGACAATGAGGCTGACTAGATTCTCTGAGGAAGGGTCAATTTTGACCGTCATCTACTTTGGTAAAGAGGATGGCACGGGGGGAACGGTGCTCGCCAAAATCCCGGGTCAGTTGCTACAGTATCATGTAATTCTGAGCCCGTGACAAAGAGCCGTTGGCATGGAGAGACTGGATGTTGCGAAGAAGCGTAAGCATGCTTGTGCCTGCTGCGCAGAGGCTCCAAGCTTGTCAGAGCTTATGGGAATGCCTGACTACCGCGACCAGATGCCACAGGCAGGGCCATGCATCGTGCAGATGTTATTCCATGTTATTCCCATTCTCAACTGGCATAACTGGTGAGAACCTGTCATGGAGGGAGCAAGTTTATCTGCATGATTACTTTCTAACGAGATCTCGTGCTTGTGGTACTGTGTGTGTGTGTGTTTGACCGCAAATCGACTAGCAAACTAATAGCTGAGACATTTCAGGCCAAAGCGTATGACGAGGAATGGGCAGAAGTCATGGCCCAAGAGTTTCCATTTCTGGGAATGGGTTGTGTGATGCATCTACAGCATCAATTCCAGCTGAGGACACAGACTACGAGGTGTCGGGGGAGCAACAGGAATACTTTGATGACAAGTGGGGTGAGGACACTTCTTACACATTGACAAACTTCAAAGTTGCAATCGTTCGTAAGAACTCTCCGAACTGCAAACTTGTTTCCTGACACACGCGCAGTTTCCACGCAATGAGCACCATCGTGTTTGCTGCCCGAGTGGCTTTGGCACGGATTTACAAAAACCCATTGTATTTTGCACTTTGTATTTTCACCTTTCGTTTTTGGTGAAAGCCAGGGTCCTCAGCAGCCTCAGCACATTCGCGGGTTTGCACATTGGCACGCGCAGCTTGTTGCAGGAGCTGAACGAGGATGCTGACTCAAGTGACGCGCGGACATCTGATCTCCAGCGGCTGGAAGAGGCCAGACATTAGAAAGATCCAGACAAACATATTCGAAGATCTTGATGTCCATTTGACAACTTGACAATGTCAATATGAACACATTGCGACTGAAAGCTGCCGTTCAAGAAGCGCTATTTCTGTCAGGACGACGACTTTGCAGCTGATGAGGATTGCTTTGTTCTGCCCTCGCGCTTGCTAGCGGTTGCCTCGCGCCGTATCACAAGCAAAGCGTTGTGGTTTGCTCATAGATGTTGTTGGACAATCCTTGCGAGCGTTTGAAATCGTCCACTGTTTCAATCTGTCGGCTTTCACTGTCAATCCGTGTCATTGTGCGAGTCCAAGAAACACCACTCAACACGTATACTCCTTTGGTAGTATTTAAGACAGTTGGGGGGCTTTGGCCCAAAAAGGGCTTTCTTTCCTCCCTTTTGTTTTGGCCTTGTGGGGTCAGCTCCCTCATCTTCTAGAATCAGGATTTAAAAAAATGGGTGTGATGTTGAGAGATCTTTGGTTGATTTCCGTTTTCTAACAAACCCGCATGGACCCCAAACTGCAAATGTGCACATCAGCTGGTTTCAATTGGAACACAAATTGCCAACAACCTGGAGACCATGTCTGCGCAGCCAAATCAAGGTGCCAAGTGAAGGAAGGACAAGGCATTGCCTCGCATGAATGGGGTGCAAAAAACTAGGTACCGGCGTTGTTAGTGACCCCTGCGTTTCTTGACCGTCTTCAAGACTCCGGTGCGGCAGCAACACGGCCCTGCGCGCACGAAACAAGAAACGACTTGAAATCGACATGCTCCAATTACCTGTTTGTTTACAAGCAACCGAGTTCCAATTCGCGTTTCGCTGAGGTGCATCGTTCATTTCAAACGGTTTTCTGCCCCCACATAGTTTTCGAGGCCTTCGGTTCAATTAAAGGCACCCATTCCCTGCAAAATGGCAACAGATGGCAAAGGTGGTCACCGAGCAGCTGCCCGCCTTTTTCGCGTACCATTTGGCACACATGCACTTGGGCGGGTGTGCTTACCATGGATACAGAGCTGAGCGGGTGCACTTGAGCGGGTGTGCTTAGGCAGGCATGGATGCAGAGTTGAGCGGGCGGCTTTGGGCGGGTGTGCTTGCCATTGGCAGTCGTGGATACAGAATTGAGGGCGGGTGTGCTTCTCTTTGGCAGGCGTGGCTACAGAGTTGAGCGGGCACACTTCAGCGGGTGTGATTACGGTTGGCAAGCGTGGATACACATTTAAGCGGGTGTGCTTGAGGGCGCGCTCACCATCTGGCAGGCATGGATACAGAGTTGAGCGGGTGCGCTTGAATGGGTGTGCTTACCGTTGGCAGGCATGGATAGGCAGGCGCTTGAGCGCGTGTAGCGTTGGCAGGCGTATACCGAGTTGAGGGGGGCTGGCAGGCATGGCTGCAGCGCACTTCAGCGGGTGTGCTTACCATTGGCAGGCGTGAACATAGAGCTGAGCAGGTGGCTTGGGCGGGTGTGCTTGCCATTGCCACTTCCAGGATTGCTCCGAAAGTCCAAATGCTTTTGCGCCGGGCCCCCGCCCTATTATGGGAGGAGCAACTCGCCGCCAGCAATGTCCAGCAGAGCCGGTCGAAGCTACCCCTCTCTCAATGTGCCACTCATTGAGGGCAGCTGAGAACTTCCACCCCTCCATGAGCAGCCCCCGAGTCGGGCCTGAGGTTGGCAGGCGTCGTAGGCAAAGCCAGCGTCATAGAGCTCAAGTGAAGACATCAACCTTGTTTGCCTGAAGTCTACATGGCTTGAGAGGCTAGTTAAAACGAGAGCCGTGGACTGGGGCCACGCAAAATTTGATTGGGTTTTAGGGGGCGTGTTTTTTGAGCGGTTTTCTAGGGTTTTGGGGACCTTGGCCGGTTTATGTGACCGGTTCCTAGGGAGTTTGACCGGGAAGAGGATTTGCCATCGCCTTTACTGGGAGAACTGGGTTCAGTTGATGCGTGCGCAGGAATGGAATGATGACCAGCTTGAGAAGCGATGGGAGGCAGGCGTGACTGATGGAAATTGACTAGCTAGTCATCCCACGGTCGTCCCGTGTTTCTGCGAATGAGTCTGACAACCACACTTAGTTGGATATGTTTGCCAGGCTTTTCCTGAGAATTGGGAAAGCGAAGAGGAAGAGGTGCAGAATGCTGCCATGTTGTTTTTGCCTGAGCTCACGTGCTATAAGCTGCTTGACAGGCAGATGTGCGGAAAAACAGCTCGAGAGCTTAAGGGAAAAAGAGACGCTTTCTATATCACAACATGCGAACGTAGCACGCCTCAGCCGCCGCGCATGCCATGGCCGCGGATAGCAGGCGCTTGGGAACCTTGTGTGGATGTTCGTGGCAAAAAAACATAAACGTTTGTGCAGGAAGCACCTTTGCGACCCGCGTGTCAAAGTCGCTTGCGGGCTGGTTGCGCTTGAGCGTTGCTGTAGCAAGCCAGGCTCCAGTATACTGTAGCGGCGCGACACGGGGGAGATCATTGCCAAGCTGCGAGTTTTGGCTTTGGTGGCGTGGATGCCAGCAAAGTGTGAAAAGCAGGGTTCTTTGCACGTTTTGCCCTGCCCCAGCACAACTGCTGTTGAAAGTAGGGTTGGTTTCAAATTTCAAGCAATGGCGGCCATCGGGGCGGCAGCTGCTCTCGCGGCAGGACATCTACGCATGCTGATTTGGAACGCGCTTGCGCAAACACACACACACACACCCACCCACCCACCCACCCACCCACCCACCCACCCGCCCGCCCACCCACCCACCCACCCACCCACCCACCCACCCACCCACCCACCCACCCACCCACCCACCCACTCAGCCGCGCGCGCGCACGCGCGCAGGGCACACGCGCCCTCGCACACGCGCACGCACACGCACACGCACACGCACGCGTGCGCGCGCGCACGGCACACGCGCGCACGCGCGCACGCGCACACGCGCACACGCTCACACGGACACGCACACACGCACACACCCACACGCACACACGCACACGCACACGCACACACCCACACACACACACACACACCCACGCACCCACGCAAGCACGCACGCACGCACGCACGCACGCACGCACGCACGCACGCAGCCCCACACACCCCAATGCGCACCCCCACACACCCCACACCCTGCACACTTCACACCCCCAAGCAGGCACGCATGCATGCATGCATGCATTCATTCATGCATGCACGGGAGCACGCGCGCACACATTCAACAGACACCAATGGAGTTGTTTCAACTTACTTTGCAGAGGCATAACTGGTTTGACTGGAGGAGGAGCTATTGGGATCATTGCATATCAGACAGAGAGCTGCTGTTATCCACCCTCAGCTGCACGTGTGGAAGCCTGAGCCGAGCCGATTTTCAGGACTGGCTGAAGTTTGGAATTTCAGATTGATCTCAGCTAGCTCAGGTTCCTGTGAAGAAACGAGCTTCTACAGCCACAAGCTTGATGGGAGAGGCCGAAAGGGTCACGAAGCAAACGAGGCAACGGGTATAAATCTAGAAGATAACTGGCAGGTTTTATGCCACATTCCGGGGATGATGAGCAAGACACGACGTCCTCAACTGAGTTATGCGCCGCGTGTTTTTTTAGATATGGAAGTGTTCCAGCTTTACAGTAGTGACGTTGCAGAGCTATTCTCGATGCTGGGCTTCTTGGTTGAGCTCAGGCCATGTCACTCTTGTCGGCGACATGCTCATGCACGGCTCTGCCTTTTGCCCAGAAGGATGTGCGCCTCTTGAAAAGCAGACATTTTGAGCAAGAGCTGCTAAGGGTTTTTGCTCATATTTACATTTCAGGCAAAAACTCAAACCCAGAAAATCCAAGATATCAAAGCAGTAGCATCTGATGGAAGCGTCGCACTCCACTATGGAATGTGAGGTGCCGGGGCATGCCGAAGGATCTATATTTTTGAGTCCTGGCCGAAATTCAGCATTTTGATACACTTCTGTGGGTGTCGAACTATTGCTGCAAATGATAACAATGAAACGGATGTGAGATGTGAGCAATGAGTTTCCTGGCTGTCGAGGAGAGGCGCGGTTGTATCCTTGGCTGGGAGTGAGGCACGCGCTTGACCGTAAAGCCTTTCTGGCCCGGAGCTTCTGTGGCTGCAAATTGTGCCAGGTGCGGGTGATGAAGGAGGGGGAAGCTTCCATTGCTATCTTTTTGGAGAACGAGGATGAGGCCACGCATCGGGAGGATTGGAATTGGAAGACTGCCACGCGCGTTGCAGAAAGGCAGAATTCTGGGCAGAGGGATTGACCTCAGCAATCACAACGTCCTTGACCCCAGCGCAGCATGTTTGTCGAGTTGGTTTGCTTCAAGTTGCTAGAGGGCTGAAGTATCCTGGCAAGGCTTTGAAGCACTGCCAAGGTCAGACAGTTTGCCAAAACTGTTCAGCATGCACAATCGGGAGATGCAGAGTCTTGGCAAGCGCAATGAGGACATCTAACCCCAACAGTATACAAGCGATAGAAGCATGATGGATAGACAGACGTGAAATCACTAGGAGTTTGCCTCGCAAAACCACCACATCTCCAAGATGCTGAGCTTCTCTCTCAGATGTTACTTTGTCATGGTGAAATGATGGGATGTTGGGAGGAATCGTTTTCCATGGCATGCTTGGTTTGCTGCAAAGCTCTGGAAGTCCTGCTTCCTCTCATTCAGCGGTTCTTTGTGAAGCTAATCTGTTAGAGAGCACGAATCGCTGCCAAATGCATGACCTAATTGCCACTGGGCATTGGCGCTGCTTCATTCCGCCTGCACCCTGAGGCCTCAAACGCCGGGAGTTTTGTGAGGTGGAGCGCAAGGCACAATACGTTGGTTGTCCCATGCCTCGATGCTGACAAGAGGCTGCACATCTTAACTTCAGCTGTAGCGAAAGCGATGGCGATTTCACCGTGTCTAGAGACTGGTAGCTGAGTTTGGCTTTGGAATTGGTTGCGCGTGAAAGTTACAAATTGAGTTGCCGGGAAGGCGCAGAACTATGAGCACGTCGCAGATATGCGTCAGCAGGAGGCCGTCGAATTCTAGAAAAGAACTACCGCACACTTGTCCGCGTTCCTTACTTCCATCGGCCCGGTGAGGTTCAAGATTTGCAGGCTCGTTTGGCAGATTTTACGAAGCTGGCCACGGCCAAAGAGACAGAGATGAGGTTTGCGCCTGAGTTTGCACAGAGTGAAAGGTCACTCCGAGAGTAGTCTGGTCTCCGTGGAAACTGCAATGCGTACAGCTCCCAGGCGCATACGGGAAGAAGTTGAGGCGCAGAGATCGCAAGAGAAGCGAGTCTGAATTTGAAATGTTGTGAAATGCGAGTTAATTGCATCACTTTCATCCGCATTCTGGCTTTGCAGCATTGGCCCTTCCAGGAGGCGTAGCTGGCATTGTTTCCTCTAGCGAATGTATTGATAGTTATAACACACAAGGGGAGGGGGTATCTCTTTCTTCCAGCCGCTGCGAGGCGGAGAAGCAACGACTACGCGACGAACGCTTGAAAATAGAGGGCCAGGCGAGGATAGAAAGCTTGGTGGCGGAAAGACCAGGATTCCCTACAGCGAGTTGTTGACAAGCACGCAACGTCATCCCCCGGGTTGCACTGACCCCTCACGTCATACAATGTTGTTCCTTGCAAGGCGGCTTCAGCAACAGCAGAGGCGCTGACAGCATGCAAAACAGTTGCTGTTTGCTTGGTGGCTTCTGAATGAGGGGAGACAATAATGGACAGTGGCCTTCAGCAGCGCATCCACAAGTTCCATTGTGTGTTTTGCAGATGTCACAATGCTTTGCAGGCAGCTTCTCGGCGCAACGAAGTTGCGGAGCTCTTCACAGAGGCACATGAGGAGAGTAGGACGCGCTAAGAACTGCGGATGGCATGGCAAAGTACTGGAAGTTCATCGCTTCACATTGTTCAATGTTCCTGGCGGCACTGACAAGCACCTGAAAGTTGCCTGCACACGGCAGGTTGTGAATGCTGAGACGGAGGCCTATGAAAAGGAGGCTTCTTGCTCAGGCAAGCAGGGCTCGTTAAGTGCTTGTTGCCGTTCAGAAGAAGCTGAAGCACTTGCAGAAGGCACATTTCGAGAAGAGTCACCAAATGGAAGAGGCCTGAAGACGATAGTGAGTCGACTTGCCACATCGTAAGACCCAGTGGATGCTGTGCTGTGCCGATAGTGCCGCATGCAGCAGGTGCAAAAGCGTCTTTTGTCAATGCAGAAGCTTTTAGAGCAGAGCGAGGCGTGGCAGTCGCCCTGCGGTTTACTCGCATCCCGTCATGCCGGAGATCCCATAGGTTCAGAGGCAAAAGATAAGGAGCTTTCCCCTGATTGGCGGGGATCACATGCGTAGTGCGTGGTTTGGATGTTGTCTTCGATGACCTGCTGTTTCTTTTCTCGGCGCAGTTGGCGCTTGGTATAAACTTTGGCAGATAGCTAGAAGCCCTTATCGATTATCAATTCATAGTGTGGGCCCCAGTGTTCAATTATGTTATGACTTGTGAGGACTGGCTGGACAGGAGACCTGCTGTTGAAACATGTCGCACATGTTCCAAGTTGTCACGTCGGCTCAAGCTTCCAGCTGGACAAGCTAACAAGAATTTTGATTTCTGTCAGAATTGACGCCGGCATTGGTTGAACAAAATGTGAGCGTGCTATGCTGCTTTGGACTTGAAAGAATCACGCCTTTGCCCATGCTGCGTTGGCAGCTCGAGCAATAGCAGTACTCAGTTTCATGCATTTGCCTTCAGCCACCCTTGGGGCTGTTTGTGCCTTAACCTTCGTCCTAGAGGATGCCGGCGAGCGGACAATGGAAGCTCGGGTTGTCTCGCGGGCCATCACGATGCTTGGCAATGAATGAAGCAGCGTGTGTCTCTGTGTCTTCGAGTGTCTGTCAATCATTCAAAGCAACATCAAGCTGATGCAACTTGTTGAGAAAGGTATCCCTTCTTCATCAGAATACACGTCCCTCCAACAGCGACCCCTGCAGCTCCTGTTGAAGAGGCCCTCCTTTGGACTCCAGAAGTTGCTCCAAGACTCAAGCTTTCGAGAATTGAAAGTCTTGCTTAGCAAATTTGTTCTGGTGGCCTTTCCTCCCTTCTTTCCTTTCCTTCTTGGCTGGCTGGGCAAGAGTTTGTCCGCGGCCACAA